CATAGAATTCTATGATAATATTTCATTAGTAGACCTCACTTATGAAATAGGAAGCAGACCTTGCATGTAAGGTCTCCGCTGCATAAACCAGTCAATACACAATCTGGCTACGTTACTGTTTTAGCGCATCCGCAATATCTCACGAGAGGAGTTATATTTTGTGCTTGATATGGTCAGGGGGTATCTCAGCATAGGTTTCTGTAAGAAATTGTTGTCAGTAGACCTGTGTTTAGAATTAGGAGAGCGCCCTAGCCAGTAGGCCTAGGGTGCAAAACTACTACTTCATCCTCGCCCGCCATTCCCCTTGTCTCCCTTGTCGCACGCTCAGCCTCCTTCTTCTTCTAGCGCCCCTCGGCTGTATTCCCTGCCACCGTCCCTCAGTCTTCCACCCCTCTCTTCCGCAGCAAGCTATATTACGTACTTTTATTTAGGCCGTACTGCACGTCTGAAACGGGGCTCGCGCATGCGCAATATATCCCAAGAGAAACAATATTTTGCCAAAATTATGAATTCAAAATAAAGAGGGGTTATCCCAGCATAGATTCTTATGATAATATTTCGTCAGTAGACCTCACTTATGAAATAGGAAGCAGGCCTTGCATGTAACTGATGTAAGGTGTTGGCAGCATATACCAGTCAGTACATAATCTGGCTACGTTACTGTTTGGGCGCATGCGCAATATCTTACGAGAGGAGTTATATTTTGTGCTAAAAATGCATTTACTATGGTCAGGGGGTATCTCAGCATAGGTTTCTGTAATAAATTCTTATCAGTAGACCTGTGTTTATAATTAGGAGAGCGCCTTAACTAGTAGGGTGCAAAACTACTACTTCATCCCGTCCCGCCCCTTCCCTTTGTCTCCTTTGTCGCATGCTCAGCCTTCTTCTTCTTCCACCGGCCCTCTGCTATCTTCCCTGCCACCTTCCCTCAGACTCCCACCCCTCTCTCCCGTAGCAAGCTATATATTATACGTACTTTTATTTAGGCTGTACTGCTCGTCTCAAACGGGGCTCGCGCATGCGCAGTATCTCTCGAGAAGAAGAATGTGTTGCCAAACTTATATTTGAATTTAAAATGAGGCGTTATCCCAACATAGAATTCCATGATAATATTCCATCAGTAGACCTCACTTATGAAATAGGAAGCAGGCCTTGCATGTAAGGTCTCGGCAGCATATACCAGTCAGTACATAATCTGGCTACGTTACTGTTTGGGCGCATGCGCAATATCTCACGAGAGGAGTTATATTTTGTGCTAAAAATGCATTTACTATGGTCAGGGGGTATCTCAGCATAGGTTTCTGTAATAAATTAGTATCAGTAGACCTGT